GAAAAAAGATCAAGCATCACATGAAACTGTTTCTGGGTAAAAGATACTGGCTAGTGAGATGCAAGTGAAAGTAGATGTGTAAGGAGAGTCATAGAAAATTTCCAATACAAATGTAATTTGGAAGGAATCCAGAAGCCACTGTCCTACTCACCTCTGTATTCCTAGTGGCTAGGCTATAAAGTATAGTAGACAGATATATGTTGGGAAGTGGGTTACCTAACTAACTGTACTGGTTGACAAGCAGGCTGTGATGAGAAAGGTCTGATGCTAGGCGTAGGCTTGTGATTGATCAGTGATGTCTGCTTAGAGTGAGGTACAGAGAAGGCACAGCATTCACCATTTCTATGTCACTATACTTTCCCTTAGATCAACTAGATCTCTTTCAGCTTTAATATCTATAACTCTATGACTGAGATTCCTTGAAGGGAAAGACTCAAAATCATCTGTGAGTATCCTGTAGTACCTAATATAAAGAGGAAAACAGAGTTTCTTTATTCAATGAGTGGTTCTGCACATGCTTTTTGAGGTCATATAGGGTAGGATTCAGCTTATACCAACAACTTCAGGACCCTACTCATATCCCCTCGGCACTTTCCATTTCCTTACACCTTATAGGATGTGGAATTAAATGAGATGATGCATGCAAAACTCTTAGCACAGTACTTGGCACATCAAAAATCCTCCTATATTATTGATAACCATTTTATGAATTTACTTATGGTCTTCATTGCTGGAAAGTTGAAATGAATTTAAAGATCAGAAATGGTAGAAAACTACTGCTGCATAATAAGATTACAAAGCTGCTGTCAGTTCTCAGTCTTTGCATTGGAGACCCTGATAATTGTTATTCACAGTGCTAAAGCAAAAAAGAAAACAAAACAAAAAACAAAACACAATCAAAACAGAACAATGTATTCTTTGGAATGCCCACATTAGCCTGGGAGCTAAGAACAGGCTCACTTAATCTCTATGGTAACATTTTCTACCTTCCTCTCTGTTCTTGCTTTTTTCCTCCTTCTCCTCTCACTTAAAGTTGGCTGAAAAAGAACAAGTGGAGAAATTCTCCCTTAAGTAATCAAACATGCCAATTAGAAAAGAAAGACTTCCAGGGCCCAGGAGTTGGGTGGCAATTTGTAAGCTCCAGTTGTATCAAGGCACATGTGATGTCGCTAGAAGCCTGGCATCCTCAGAGAAGGCCAGTTTGATGTGTTATCCAATTCATTTGCATGAATGCCTGGCCTGCTGAGTCTGGTTTTCCTCTGTAGGCACTCAGGGAGAGCAAAGCATGGAAAACTAAGTGCCTACCATGCTGATTTTTAGTCAAATGTTTGCAGAGTGTGGTTTACATGAATGGGAAGCCAGTTGTGGCAGGAAGAGAACTATTCAGGAATCCTCTTTGTATATGGTATAATGCTTGACCAGGTGGGAGACTGGCGCCTGATAGACTAGGGTTCAAATTTTGGCTCCACCAGTCAATAGCTATATAGCATTGGTTAATTTCTGAACCACGCTAAGCCTCTGTTACCTCACTGGGGAAATGGAGACAATACTGCCTCTCTCATAAAGTTATTATAAGACTTTTGTCATTTTCTTTCTTATAACCCTCCAGTGATTTGTCACTGAACTTTGAATAAAATCCTATCTTCTTATCCTGGATTATGTATTTCTCTGGCATCTGGCCCCTGCCTACCTCTGTGACATTATTAGCTGCCACTATCCTTTTTGCCTATCATGATCTGAACACCTTCATCTTTTCTCTCTTCCTCCAACATGCCAAACTTCTAGTTTATTAAGGCCTTTGGTACCTGCTGTTCCCTCTGCCTAGAATGCTCTTCCCCACAATTTTTATATAGTACTTTTCTTGTCAAATATGTCTCAGCTAAATTTATCACCACCCCCCAACATTATCACCATCATCACCACCATTACCCTCATTATCACCATCGTCATCATCATCACTATCATCACTACTACCAATGTGTTCAATAAATATTGGTTGAATGAATGAATGGATGAATGAATGAACGTTATAAATCTAATACCAGGCTTGAGCCTGGAAATTAATTGGATTTTGATACATGTTACTTTCTCCACCCTGATGGCCTTCATTGCATTTGAGATGACTTCATTTTGACTACGATGGGGGCCCTCAATTTTTCAGTACTTCGGTTTTCTTCATTCTCTTTCCTGTGGCTTATTAGAATTCTCTAATGGCCCTTTCAGACGCCGAATGCTCTTTTGGGTCCCTTTCTCCTATTCTCCAAGTCAGTAGCCTTAATGTTTAGCACATCTTCAGCTATAGACTGGAATAATCTAAAGTAGCCCCTAATTAGGAAAAATTTAGAGACACCATGTATTTTGGCAAATTCAAGCTCCTCTGCATGAATTTTAGTGCCCTGAATAAAGTGACCTGACTTGGAAGATAATTCCTCCCTCCCTCCCTCCCTCCCTCTCTCCCTCCCTCCCTCCCTCCCTCCCTCCCTCCCAATTCAGAATATTATGGGTACAAACATTTTCGTTACATGAAATGCATTTGCCTCACCCAAGCCAGGGCCACAATTGTCCTTCCCCATACAGTGCCCCCCCAGTCTCCATTAGCTGTAGGTTTACTCAACTCACCCCCTTCTATCTCCCCCCACTACCTGACTGGTACCCAGTGAGTTTTGCTACCATGTGAGCACCTTAGTGTTGATCAATTAGTACCAGTTTGATGGAGAATACATGTGGTACATGTTTTTCCATCCTCGTGATACCTCATTTCGAAGGATGGGCTCAATCTCTATCCAAGATAATATAAGAGGTGTTAGATCACCATTGTTTTTTGTAGTTGAGTAGTAGTCCATGGTATACATATACCATATTTTATTAATCCACTCATATATTGATGGGTATTTGGGGTTGTTTACACATCTTTGCAATTGTAAATTTGCTGCTATAAACATTCGAGTGCAGATGTCTTTATCATAGAATATCTTTTATTCCTTTGGATGGGTGCCTAGTAGTGGGATTGCTGGATCAAATGGTATTTCTAGTTTTAGCTCTTTGAGGTATCTCCAAATTATTTTCTACAGGGATTGTACTAATTTGCAGTCCCACCAGCAGTGCAAGAGTGTTCCAGTCTCTCCATATCCACACCAGTATTTGTTATTTTAACTGATAAAAAGCTTTTTTATTCTTTTGTATTTCAGGTGTGAAGAGTTAAGTATGATTGTCACTACATGGAATATCATTGCCATAGGTCTGCACAAGCCCATTTTCATTATTTAATTTATTCATTTTCTTTCTTCCTTTTCCCCACTCCTATTTTATTTTCTTTCCCACAGATGATGATTCTAATGTTTTTAATGTATGTGTTTTATATGTTGTCTTGCAAAATGTACATTCTTGCTTTATAATTTTGTATTAACTTACAGAAATGGCATTGTATGATATGTCATTCTGTTCCTGACTTTCTTTTTCAGCCGGTACTATTTGGTAAGATTCATCCATGTGGCTATGTGTCCATCTAGTCGAATGCCTCTGTTGCATAGGCCTCTGCCATATGTGCCTACCCAATTCTACCGAGATTCCCAGTAATAAACCTTTTCAGTCTTGGGGCTTCTCACAGTGCACTGGGTAACTGGAGATTCCTTCATCCTGTCCTTGCAAGGAGTATATTTCTTCTTCTGTTTCTTTGTGACCTTCTTTCAGCCCAATTCGATCTCATCCCAACTCATCTGTAACAATGCCATGACCCTGATTTGCCCATCAATTTCCAGCATCTAGACTACAGATTGCAACTGAATATTGATAGTATATTCATGTGCTTATTCATTGAACAATTATTTGTTAATTGTTACTTTGTGCCAGGGCACTATCCTAGAAAATGGAAATTTAGCAGTGAGCAGGACAGGCAAGGTTCCTGTTCTCAAGGAGCTTAGATTTTAGAAGGGTGAGATGGATAACAAATAAATGTACAAATAAGCAATATCTTTTCAGGGAACAACTCCTTTGAAAGATGAATTTGATATGAGCTCCAAATGACACAAAATAGCTGTACAAATATCTGGAGTATGAGAGGATCCTCAGTTGGAACAGCAAGTGCAGATGCTGTACAATTGATAAAAGCTTGATCTATTCAAGAAACAGCAAGAAGATCAATGTGGCTAGGGCATAGTTGGCCAGGGTGGGGGGAGTGGGAAAAGATGAGGCTGGAGGGGCTGGGCCAGGAGATACAGGGCATGGTAAGGAGAATAGATTTTATTCTAAGTAAATAGAAAACCTATGGGATATGTTATGCAAGTGTTAATAGAATTTAGGATATATAGATATCCTTGTTCTCTATTACTTTAGTAAGTCTTGGAGATGGGGAGATCCTAGTTTGGTGTCTGTATGTGTATAGGGGGATTTATTACTCTAGACCATCTTTCCCCTAGTGCAGTTGTCCTTGGCTTAGATACTGAACCATATGTGCTCTTTGTCATTGACACTGGGTTTGAGAGAACTATACAATGCCACGTATCATTCAAAAGCAATGGCCCTGGACCAAGCTGACTCCAAATACTTTTGAATCAGAGATCAACCCCCAAAGCCATCCAAAGTGAAATGAAGACAAAGGCTGATGCTCTTGAATCTGAAGCTTCTCCCATCATTGGGGTGCACCAACAGCCCATTACCAGAAGATGATGAATCCTGCCTGAGCAGGGCCATGCCACAGAAGATGTGGGTGGAGATGTGTAGAGATCTGGTTGTTTCTATGATAGCTATCTAAGGCTGCAGTTTGCATTGTTTAGTCAGTTGAGGTAAAGCTTCAAAGCACTCGGTCATCCCACTGATTATTCTAAATATTTTCTTCTGGGCATTACAGCCTACATCCACACCTATTTTATGCCTTAGCATTCACTTTTAATTGAACCCAAATCCACCTTTAAGATTATATAACAAGTTGTGCAGTTGTGCTGGATTCTCTCCTCACTGGGGTCCTCAACCTGGCCCACTTTCCCTGCTGTCTGTTGTCCTAGATCATCGACTTGAGCCCCACACCTTCTTGCCTTCAGCCTTGGAGTAGCCAGTTCTCCAGTTTGTTTCTCCACATCATAACTTCTCAAGTGGTTAATGGCTCGTAAACAAGTAATGAGCTCTTAGTGTACATTTAAAGGAGTCCATGGTGAGTAATCCTTTGTGTTGTGAATAATCACCCAATAATTTATCTCCTTACCAGTATAGATTTGGAGGTTTTTATTAAAGGATGTCCTTGCAGCTGTATTAAGGGGAATTAAAAGAGTGTTTTTGGAAGCTATTTGGCTAGGGAGAGAGAAATAAAAAGGATATTCAAGGTGAGTGATGTGAGATAATGGGATGTATAAAACTGTTTGTGAGGAAAGTTTTTTGTAAACCTAAAGGAATGAATGTCTTTGAGGTAGCATTTTTGGAGAAAAATATGGGGAAAACGAAATGTAAGTAGAAAAACCATGCACCCAGTCTATATGCAGCCTTCATGTTTGCCAAATAGAAACTTAGTTATGCAAAAGGGTATGGCAAGCAAACTGTCAAAGTGCTTTACATATGAGCACAGACAAGACCAGCTACATAATTTTGGGAGCCCAGTACAAAATGAGAATACAGGCCTTCTTTTACACAAATTATTAAGAATTTCAAAACTGTTACAGTAGAGCATTAGACCGGGAATGGGCCTTTCTATGATTGGGGCATTATACAAAAGACATGTCATGAAGTCAGCCCTGAGCACAGGGTTACTTTTTCTGGCAATATATAGAAGAAGATGCAGTCAGTGTGAAGAGACAAAAAGAATATGGACTTTGCAGTGGGAAACACCTGGGTCTTAATCATAAGTATCTGCAATTTAATAATTTTGTGGTCAGTGGCAAGTCACATAACCTCTCTGAGCTTCAGTTTCCTCATTTATAAAATGGAGATGTTCCTCTTTAGCTTACAGTATTCCTGAAAGGATTAGTGATATATCACTTACAGTGCCTTCTAAGGAGAGAGTGTTCAATAAATAGTAGCTATGATGGTGAGGGAAAAAGTTCAAAAGCTGAAACTCTTGAGGGACTAGCATCTGTGTTTTCTAGTGCCTGTTTCTTCAACAGACCTTATGACATTTATAGAGTTTAAGCTTCTTTAAGACAGATTCTAGGGTAGAGCTCCTGGTACTTATAAGGGAGTGGGAATAGAAGACAAAAAAGTTGAGTATGAGACTTTTCTCTTCTTGAGATGCTTCTAATCTAGTTAGTGAATTAAGAATGCAAATAGCTTCACTATAATGTAGAATAATATAAGTGATGCAGGAGAGTTACTTGACCAAATAGTGAAGGAATTTAAAAAAAATGAAGCCAAATATGGTTAGAGAATAAGTACTTGATTGGGGTGTTCCCTTTATTGCTGTAGAAAATGAAGTTATTAAAGTTGAAGGAACAAGGGCTGCTACAAATTAAAAATTAAAAGGACTTTGTGAGCATCATTAATTTGTCAGATAAATTCTTAGCTTGGTGGGCCTCAATGAGCCATGCCTTTCAGAATTCAGGCATTTATGTAGCTCCTTCTTGAATCTGTATGAACCCATGAACTGCTTTACTCATTAAAATGTGGTGGAAGTGACACCATGCCAGTTCCAATCCCAAGCCTTACGAAGTCCAAGAAGCTTTTACTTTTGCACACTTAGAGGCCTTGAACTACAATTCTGGAGAGATCATGTGGAGAGGCTGCAAAAAGAGTCTGAGAATACATGGATGGGAACTAAGGAACCCAGTTGACAGTGAGAACTGTGCTCCAGATATATGGTCCAAGTCAAGGTCTTCCAATGAGCCCCCAGATATTTGATCCATCCTAGCTGAGGCACTATACACATGAGTCAAGAGGCCATCTAGAATATTCCAGCCCTGGCATAACATCAGGCAGAACAGAGATGAGTGAGCCCTCTGTGCCTTGCCTGAGTTTCTGACTGACAGAATGGTAAAAAAATAATAAGATAGTTGTTTTAAGTCAGTAAGTTTTGGGCTATTTTGTGTTATAGCAATAGATAATTGAAACACAAATTGGCATCTAGAAGTGGGCTGCTGCTATAACTAAAGGTGTAGAGCAGATATGACTGGTTTGGGCAGTAGAAGGGGGCAGGGACCAGAAGGGCCTTGACAATACTGTGATGAAGAGTGAAGAACAAGGGGAAATTGCTGCTAGAGGCTGGAGAAAAGGAAACTGATTTTATATAATGGAAAAACAATTGGCCAAACTATTGCCTTGGTCTTGATCTAATGGATTTATGGATTTGCTAAGGCGATATCCAGGCAGAATATGGAAAGTGCCAACTGGCTCTTTTTAGCAGCCTGTCATAAAGTAAAGGGAAGATCAAGATGAGCTAAAGAAACTGTTAAATTTTCAAACAGAATTTAGAGAAGACATAAAGAAGCTAGAACATGCTGGGTTGGAGAATAAAATTGTTTCTTATTCCCAGCTCCTGCAGCCAGCAAAAGATTTAAAAAAATTTACACACAATGCTTCATGTATTTACTTTAAATTTATGACCATACATTTTATGTGGATACTCAATACTACTGGCTAATCTCTATATGCTTTCCAAATAAATTCTTTTCTCCAGTTAGCAGGTGTATTTTATAACTCCTATTTTAAATTCTTTAGCACCTCCTCCTCTCTCACTGATAACTTTACTTCAGACTTCATAGAGAAAAAAAGATGCAATGAAATAAAAATTAATTCACCTAAAACCAACTCTAGTAATCTTCATGCATCTGTATCCATAGATACTGTCTTTCTTCCCAACACAAGAAGTGACCCTACTCCTCTCCAAGACCAGTCTCTTTACTTGTGCCCATGTGCTTTAGGATTTTTTTCCTGTGGTTATCTGTATCTTCTCTTGAAACATAAAGTTCCCCTGCTCTCCCAGGTTATTTCTGTTGGCATTCGAATTCAGGCATGTCTTAATACAGCTTTAATGCATTTTCCCTTGACCCCTCATTTCTCACAAGTTTCACAAGTACTTTTATCTCTTCTCCCTGGAAGAAAAACTGCCTGAATAAGTTGTTAAAAGTCACTCTACTTTTCCATCCTACATTCTCTCTCTCTCTTTCTGAAGAACTTTTGTGCTCACTTCATTGAAATGATTCTTATAAAGGTCCCTCTTGATCCAAGCCAGTGATGACTTCTGTCCTCTTCTCACAGGATCTCTCAGAAGCCTATGACATATTGACCATTCCTTCTTTGATTAGACACTGTCTTCTCTAGGCAATTACAATACAGGGTTCATGTGATTGTCCTCTCACTTGACCATCACTCCTTGTCAGTCTGTTTCACTGATTTATCATCTTTACTGGCAATCTAAATGGAAGAGAATATCTCCTCCCCTTTATTGGCACCTTTACCCTGGCTTATGACTCTAAATACCATTCATATACTGAGGAACCTTAAAGTCATCCCTTGGGGAGTGGGATTTCAGATTTGTATATCTAGAAACTACTCTGAAATTTCCATTTGAATGCATAATAAGTACATCAAAAATATGACCAAGACAGGACTTCCAGTTCTTACCTCCTCCACCCACTTTGCCATCTCTGGAAACAGCACAACCATCAAGGAACTCAGACACTTTTAGATACATGATGACATACTTACTCATGCATTTATACTGTTTTCTTCCTAAAATTATTCTAACTGGTCTAGTCTGCTTTTATTTATTTGTATCTAGGCTATGATCAATATTAGTGACTCTTATCACCATCTCTTATCCATGTTTTGACTTGTATGGCCTTCTGTTTTGGACAGTTCTAGAATGAAAAATCAAGAGTTATTTTTTCATTTAAATAAATGACCTGAGTACTTTTCTGAAATCAGGTCACTAAGTTACCCTCTCGGCTGATTACCAGTGCCATGAGCTCATTCATGATCACATGGTGTTTAGAACTATATTTCTTCTTTCAAAAGCCTGATGGCAGCCAGTCTCAGTCATTGCAACACCAGCAATGACTCAGTTGTGGAGAGACATCATGATGATACTGCTGTCAAAGGTGAGCAGGTTAGTCTAATTGTCTTTTTTCTCATTCTCAGAATCTGAGGACTGTAGAGGTCTGAGTAGAATGACTACACACCTTGTTTGTTAAACAGGCATATTTCACGGTAGAACTGTAGTTATAGTCATCTAGGATACAGATATTACCTTCTTCCAGGGAAAAGTGGCATATGTGGACCAAGCAGATTATGGATTCTTTCGTGTTATTAAGTGACACTGATGCTGCAATTTGGGAGAACAGTTTATATAAAAGATGTCACCTGGCCAGGCTAGCCTGTGCTGGGATCACTGATCTGTGGATTGGAATAAAAGGTATAAATGTTTTACTTGTTCCAGAGTTTAAAATTCCACATCCTTCCCTCATTGCACCCCTTTGTCCCTCCCAATCTCACCATAGCTATGTTGTACAGTCTATAGTAAACAGATTGCTCTGAAGAGAAGAAATGAGTAAATGTCCAGCAGTAAGGAATGGGAGGATTATCTTACTGTTTGTTACACATCAAAAATAGTGTTTTGGAGACTGCTGGAGCAGCCCGGAGACCAGCGGGAAGGGGAGGTGGATTGGAAGTTTCCCCTCCCCTGCATCTGGGACTGCTGGTGGGCTCCCCAGCGGGTGGAGAGACCTGCGGACACCAGCCCAGAGACAGCCTCTGCCAGTGAGCGGTAAGCCAGTAGCAGATGTGGCACCAGGCTTCCAAATCCCTCGGAGAACCTCCATGTGCACAGACCTGAGTTGCATGGCAGGCGCCATATTGCCTCCTTCTCCTCTCCTCCAATCCTACCCGCAGCTCTCCAGAGAGACAATATAGCCACCAGCTGGAGGCACCTCCAGGGAATGGGACCTTCCCTTTTGGGGCCCTACAGCTGACTAAGGGGAACTCAGACTGTGGGCTCCCTACTTGCCAGCCCTCCCAGGTGCTACTGGCACGGTGATCCCAGGAGAATGGGGCAGACCCTTAGGCTGAGAGATATAAACCCAGCTTGGGCTCCCAAACTGTGGGTGAATTGGGACCAGCACTCCTCTCCCTGGTGGGGATATAGTTTGAACT